GTTTTTTTAATACACCAATAATGAATTCTTAGAAAGAGAAACTAAGCAAACAATCCTATTTACCAATGCAGCAAAAAAATTGAGATTCTTAGGGATAAACTTAACCAAGGAGATGAAAGACTTGTACTTGGAAAACTACAGGACGTTGGAAAAATAGATAGAGGAAGGTATAAAAAGTTGAAGAATATACTGTGCTCATGGGTTGGTAGAAGTAACATGATTAAAATGTCCATACTACCAAAGGCAATCTACAGATTCAATGCAATTCCTATTATAATACCAAAGATGTATTTCACAGATCTAGAACAAATACTCCAAAATTTATATGGAACCAAAGAAGGCCCTGAATATTCTCAGCAATCTTGAGAAAGAACAATGTTGAGGAATCCCAATACCAGATGTCAAGTTATACTTACAAAGCCACTATCCTCAAAACTGCCTGGCACAAGAATGGGCATGTAGATCAATGGGACAGTACAGGAGGACTCATTATGCTCAATTAATATTTGATAAACGAGTCAAGACAGCCTCTTCAATAAATGGTGTTGAGAACTTGCACAGATATATGCAAAAAAAAAATGCAACTAGACCACCAATTTATACCATACACAAGAATAAACTAAAAGTGGACAAAAGACTTAAATATAAGTTGTGAAACAATAGAAATCCTAGAAGAAACTATAGGCAGCAAATTCTCAGACATCTCTTGTAGCAATATGTTTATAGATACATCTCCTAAAGCAAAGAAAACTAAGGAGAAAATAAATAGGACAACATCAAAATAAAAAGCTTTTGCACAGCAAAAGAAACCATCAACAAAATGAAAAGGGAGCCCACGGTATGGAAGAATATATTTGCCAATGATATATCGGGTAAAGGGCATGCCTGTGTTGTGGGCGTAATCCCCAGTGGGAAATGTGCAGGAGGCAGCTGATCAATGATTCTCTCTCATCATTGATGTTTCTAGCTCTCTCTCCCTCTCCTTTCCCCTCTCAAATAAATAAAAATATACTAAAAGATAACTGGTGAAGATGTGAAGAAAAGGGAACTGTAGTATACTGCTGGTGGGAATGCAGACTGGTGCAGTCAGTGGGTGCAAGTGGCGGCTTCCGCCCCGATCTCCCCTGAGGGCTTCTCCACCTCCCCCTGCTCCTGAAGGGTGATTGGGGCAGCAGCCGCTGCTTGCACCTGCTGCTGGTGCTGGCCCCAATCGCTCTGCGCTGTCAGCGGCTGCAAGTGGAGCTGGAGCTGTCAGCGTGTGGAAGTGAAGGCAGCGGGAATGCGGAGGATGGGCTGAGACCCGCCCCTGTGCCCGCTGCAACCTCGTGTTCCACAGTTCCTTTCAAGGTGCATGAATTTGTGTACTGGGCCCCTAGTAATTTATAAATATTTTCTCTTCATATTTTATTGTCAGGCTGTCAAATTTTTTGTCTTCTATTAACATGTACTAGAATTATGGAAATGAAACAAGCAAAGTAAATTATTACTGAGCACCCACCACGGAAAGACATTACATTAGGTGCTGTGGGGGTCAAAATGATGAGTAGGACACAGTCCTTAATCTAAAGAACCTTAAATTCACAATGGAATTAAGTAAGGGATGAATTAACATGTTAGGGAGGACAATCCTAAAACTAGGAGCAATGGACAGCTCAAGGAAATAATGACTTTAAGTGGAGTTTTTAGGAGAGAAGTATTTGAATGGGTAGGGAAGTAGAGGGGAAAAGATGTTTGCAAAAGTCAGAAATTAGGATGCATATACATGAAAACATAGGCTGTATGGTTTATGAAACTACAACTTGCCCTGAAGTGTAGAAGAGGGCATACAGCTCAGATGGAGCTGGTAAAAAGAGCTGGCACTGGATATACAAAGACAAATACTTGTTAGAGATTGTTGCTTAGGGGAAAAGAGACAGACAATAAGATGATGATGGGGAAAAAAGCATGTAGAGAGAGTTATGCAGAGGGTGATATGAGACACACCTGAGGGTTCAGGGAATGTTTCCTGATTGTGAAAAGCCACTCTAAGTAATGAAGTAGGGGGTGGGTGTGGAGGGTTTAGGACTTCTTGGATAAGGAGAATTAAATTATGTTGTCCACAGTCAAGGCCCATGAGTGACATGAGGTCCCATTATAATATTCCAGAGAATAAAGGATAAAGGTCATACCACATCCAGGAGACAGTGGAATGTATTAAAAGCTCTAATGAATAATCCTTAAAACAATGAAGCTTTACACCTAATACAGAGGGGAGGAATACTTTTCCTTTGCATACCTTCTGGGCAATCATGTTGCAGATCTCGGGTAGGAAATCCTCGCTGAGGAGCTTATAGAGCTGCCGTTCTCGAAGGGAGGTCCTCTCTCGAAAACTCTCAGTGACCTGTCTCCACTCTTCTTCTGTTTGGCACAGGAGCCACCAAGTGCCTTGACCTGGCCCTTGGGACCCGGAAAAAGAAAGGATGGGTTCATTAAATAAATCCTCTTTTCCTATTTATTCTCAATTTTGTTTTTACTCTGGCTCATGAGCAAAACCAGGAAATCAGAATAAAAGACCTACTCCTTTTTAATTTGAAGACTGATAATGTATACTTTTGATTTTCCTGTTACTATCACTGTTTACAGCTAACAGTGAATACTGACCAAAAGCAATATAAATATAACTTTTGTGACCTTTATAGGGTAGATGTGAATATAGTAGAAACGTTTAAATGTTTATTTTTTCCTATGCAAATAGTTTTGATCTGACCTTTTGCAGCATCTTCCCCATTTCACAGACATTAAGATACTATTATTAAATTTATATTCTCCTCCAAATTATGCGATTTGGATTACAAAATTGAAATCTCAATAGGAAACCAGTATACTCTCTTATGTAGTAAAGCATTTTACATTAAAAAGATTGCTTGCTCTTTCAGAAGTTGCTCATTCACCTAAATGTTTGGGTAGATATTACACTGAGGCCAGGTAACAGGGCAAAAGTGAAAAGAACTACTCCTGATATAAAGTTATCCTTCAGGAGAGACGGGCACAGAATAAAGTACAAGGAAGAGAGAACTGAAGGGCAGCAAGGCTAGTTAGATGGTACTGCAATAATCATAACTGTGGTGTATGACTCTGGAAAATGAGAATCCCCATCACAATACAAATCAATTGCATTGACTTAATCCTTTCCAAAAACTCCAGCAGAGGTCATTACCATTTCTTGTCTGTGGCTCAGATGCCATGGAATTTTTGTCCTGCTTCTCACTGAAAAAGAGATTAACAATTAAACACAGACATGTTCAAAACTGTTATTTCCCCTATCAGGTAGACACAACTAAATGTGTGTGTGTGTGTGTGTGTGTGTGTGTGTGTGTGTGTATCAAGAGGGTAAGGTTATAAGAAATGACTACTGAAAAAATGAATACTAGGATGTAGATGTATTGGAATAGAGAGAAAAAACTGACATAGGGACTCATTGTTATGGTAACATCAATCATAGGAAAATATTAACTTTTAAAACATTAAAAAATATCAAATAGAGGAGTGTTAACAGTTAAATACCAAGAGGGGAAAAAAGAACTATAAAGTGTTAACAGTTAAATACCAAGAAAAAAAGAAGTATAAAGATTCCAATGTTGTACTCCCTTAACTCAAAGCTACACTGAAGATACGGCATACAAGGGTGGGCAAAAATAGGTTTGCAGTTGTAATACAAATAAATAATTAATAAATAATAATACAAGAATTAACTGTTTCACGTATTAACAACTGTAAACCTCCTTTTGCCAATCCTATATTTAAATTTAGCCTCATATATGGTAGAGGTTAAGGACAAAGGTTAAGAATAAGACTTGGCACTAACCATGACCTTGTGAAAATTAATTAATGTTTCTATAAAATGGAGTTGTTAATATGCTGACCTTACAGGGATGATGGGCATTAAATTCTAAAATGCGAAAATGTTCAGCATGAGTGTTAAGGATCATAATTATTTGTACCCTGAGTCATACTAGACATATTGTTCCACAGAACTTTATGTGCGAATAAAAATGTGCTATATTGTTTCTGTCAATTTGGTAGCCATGAGCCACATGTGGCCACAGAGCACTTAAATGTGCTGTGGCTAATGTGACTGAGGAACTGAATTTTAAATTTTATTTAATGTAAAAATATTTAAATATAGAGCTATCAAGAATAAAATCACTGTTAGAGGCACGAGTCTATGTATGCTTGATAAAAGATTCTAAACAGTAAAACCTCAATATAATGGACTAATTTGGGTAAGGACTGCCCATTAAAGCCAAAAGTTAGTTATATAATAAAGTAGGTTTTCTGAATGTGTATGTTAAAAATTGACAAATTAGTTTAGTTTACCTGTTTTAACTAATGTAGACACATTTGTATAATTAAAATTAACTATGTATGGAAGGTTTAATTTCAGTTTTCTATATGTATAACTGTAATTTTAAATTTATACTGAAGCAATTCAATAAATGCTGTATTCACCAGTCACTGCGAGTAAACAAATGCATGTGGCTGGGGCGTGGCTTAGTGCATGTGGGAACATCCATGGTACAAGTAGAAACTGCTGCAGAAAGTCACACCAAGTGACAACAGAACCAATTACCTGCAAGATGTGGTGTGACCATGTGCTATTCATTTGCTGAACATTGTTTATAAGAGGTGACTCTTGGATTTAAATGTAGACTATAATTGTAGATATGTAATACTTATTATGTTGGCAAAATTACTAAAGTGTTTTTTTTCAAAATATGGCCTGTTCGCAAAAATCTGTTAAAAATAACAATGAAGCCCTGGCTCAGTGGTTAAGCATCAACATGTGAAACAGGAGGTTACAGTCCAATTCCAAGCCAGGGCACATGCCGAAATTGTGGGCTGTATTCCCAGTGGAGGGCATGCAGGAGGCAGCCAATTGATGATTCTCTCTCATCTAAGTTTCTATCTCTTTCCCCCTCTCTTCCCTTCTTCTCTGTGAAATCAGTTTAAAAAAGCACACACAAAAAACCTAGTGAATTAATAACAACAACAAAAATAACCGGTAGCAAGTCTTGGTTAAAAGCATTTTAAAATCGCCGAAACCGGTTTGGCTCAGTGGATAGAGCATCGGCCTGCGGACTGAAAGGTCCCGGGTTCGATTCCGGTCAAGGGCATGTACCTGGGTTGCGCGCACATCTCCGGCGGCGGATGTGCAGGAGGCAGCTGATCGATGTTTCTCTCTCATCGATGTTTCTAACTCTCTATCTCTCTCCCTTTCTCTCTGTAAAAAATCAATAAAATATATTAAAAAAAAAAGCATTTTAAAATTAACAAGGTGTTAATTTTCACATATGACATATGGACTGGAAATTTTGTCCATTAAATCCAAAGTCCATTAAATTGAGGTGTGCAAAATTGAGGGTTTACTGTATTCCTAGCACTAACGTACTTTAATTTCATTTATAGAGAAATGGAGATAGATATGAAGCAGCTTTTTGAATACTTAAGGAGGTATAGATTGCTAACAAAATCCATAAACAGATGTTGTGTGTACAGAACATAATTTTAGGACATTTCTCAGAAACACTGTGGAAAGAAAGCTGCAATCTGTGGTCTAATTTCTGAAAGTTAAGCAGAATACTGAATCTTAAATGTAAAATAAAATCAAATTCTGATAGGTTTATTCATAATCTGATTCCTAGACATACTTTTTAGTTGTTAATAAATAACACAGTAAAAAATCTGGTATTTCAAGCATTTAGATTATTTATCAATGCTAAAATTTAGAGGGAATGAGCAGACTGACGTGTCATTCGTTTTTAAGAATACAACCTAACTTCCACAGGTGTATAAAAACAGATATGATCCTTAAGTATATTTACACAGTATAGGTCAGATTCTGAAAACCCTTCACTAAGATTCACATGCTACAATTTCCTAAAAGATAATGACATCCTAATATATAAAAAGCCAGGGGCTGTCATGACCAAAACAACCGGACAGACGACCAAACAGCAGCTGAGTGGGGCGACCAGGTCAGCAGGTGGGGTAGTGAGGGACAACCAAATGACTGAACAGCAGGCTGTGTGGGGCAACCAGGCCAGCAGGGGGTACAGTTAGGGGAGATCACCAGGAGGCATATGGGAGGGCAGTTTGGGGTAAGAAGGCTGGCAGGCAGAGTGGTTGGGGGGATAAGGCAGGCAGGCAGTGAATGGTTAGGAGCCTGTGGTCTTGAATTGTGAGAGGGATGTCTGACTGCCAGTTTAGGTCTAATCCCTGCAGACATCCCCCAAGGGGTCCTGGATTGGAGAGCGTGCAAGGCTGGGCTGAAGGGACCCTCCCACCCCGCCTCCCGCCGTGCACCAGGCCTCTAAAAATTCCCAAATGTAACAGAATCTCTTTTTCTTTGCTAAAATTAAATATAAAATACTTTAAAACATGTTTAATAACTTGCCTTTATTTTAGGAAATTGAATTCTAAACATAACAAAGCAGGTTTGCTACTAAAATCTCCCTAATGGGAAAGAACTAACCCTAAACTTATATAAGATATGTCTATTAAAATGCTGATTATTAACACAATCACAGAATTAATTTGCTCCATGTTCCTATAAAAATGTGTGACACAACAAATTTTTTAGAAGTTAATACATACTGAATGAGCATAGTTTTTCAATCTGTTACACTGTCACATTCATTGTCTACTTCAAGTTAATCATCATTCCTATTAGTACGTCCACTGTCCAATAAAACAGGTTACCTAGAAAATAGGTAACCTGCTAGAGGTCATGCAGCTAGGGTTTCTGATTTCCTAGTACACAGTCCTAATTCCATGAGGATTCTGATCCAGGTCTCCGTAATTTAGGTCCCATGTCCTTTTCACGGCATGAGTAACAAGTGAAAATAGGTTCCTTTCAGCAAGAGGATCTAAAACCGTCAAGGACTAACAAGATTGTCTTACCTCACTATAATCTCCTCCTGTAGTTTCTTCCGTTTGGGGGGTCTTCCTCTTCTTTTTCCTGTTTTCCCAAGAATGCCTGAGCCATTTTTTTGTCCTTCACTTTCCCTAAGAAACAGCATATTAAATAGAAATGTTTTATCATAGTACTGACAGCATATTAAATAGAAATGTTCTGTCATAGTACTGATGTATTTTAAGTACTGCTTTCCTAGCCATGAGGCTACTGAAATAGATTAACACGTTACGCGCCCAGCCTGTTTTGTCTTCCAGATGGAAAGTATAGTGTCAGTCACTGGTGACTGACTGGGCGCTTAATGTGTTAAATACAGCCATCATAGGGAAAGGGCAGGATGACTTCCAATCTTCCATTAGAATGCTGAATCAAGGAAAACTGACATTTTACAATATTAAAATCTGAGTCAGACCTAACACTTTCCTAATAGTGAGCACTGCTCCCAGCAATAAGAAAGGATGGTAGCATCATTACAGGATGCTATGGAAAGGATTCTTCCTCATTTAAGAGTAGTTAGTAAGCCTATGGATCAGACATTGAGTACAAAAGAGGAAAACAATGGCAGTGAAATGACTGCACTGCTAAGAACCTACTGTATAGAACAGTTGCTGATAAGGGAAGTGGTGCTCCTCAGAAACCTCACAGCAAAACAGAACCTTTCACCACTTGCTATTAGTGGCTACAGTTCAATTCCTTTTTATTTCTGTATGAAACAACTCCCTTTCTATCTCTTTGCAGGTGTGCTGTCAGAATTAATTCCTTAATAAGAAAAAAAAATAGTGCTGCTGATGCATTTAGTTTTAATGACATTTCTGTACACTAGCTACCAAAGCTCTGATCTTAAACAATGTACCTGCTCAAAGAGAGTTCTCTGTTGGATTTTCCTTGTATTGGGTCCTCCTTGTACATTCGAGTTCCATAGAAATACCAATATAGTGCCCCAGAATTATCTTCACCTAATGGCTCCACGCGGAGACTGTCTGCATCTAGACCCTAGGTTCAAGAACAGGAAAAAGAGGTTTGGGGATATGGGGAACAAAAGAGGAGAAAACTTAATAAGGATTCCAAATTTTTACTCAGATATACCTTATATTTAAACATGCCCAAATACCTAAGTAATATTCAATCAGGGCATATGAAATACACATAGAATGCTTCCCATCCCTATCACTGCTCCCATTTCATCTACAAAAAAGAAATCAAAAGGAATTTTGATGAACACCCTATCTAATGAAAGAGTAATATGCAAATTAACTGCCACTCCATGACAAAGATGGTGGTGCCCATAGCAGCCGGGTCAGGACGCTGGCAGCATCACCCCAGCAATGTGAGCCCAGAAGGCATTGCTGTGGCAACCCGGAGCAGGCAAGCACTGTCTGTAGGCAGCGCCCAGAAGGACCTGCTTTGCCCATCGCCATGGTGTGGAGCAGGCAGGCCCTGCAGAGAGCAGAGAACCATGGGGAGCGGGCCTAAGCCATCAGAAGGACATCCCCTGAGGGCTTCTGGATTGAAGAGGCTGCAGGTTGGGCTGAGGAACCCCCCTCCCACCCTCACCCTCCCCGTGCACAAATTTCATGCACCAGGCCTTTAATCCTATATAATAAAAGCATAATGTGCAAATTGACCAAACAGTTGAACAACAGAATGACCATCCAGGACCACACTATGACACTCACTGGTGCTAGGCCAGTCAAGGTGGGTGTGATGCAATTGGTGGGGGGCCTAGCCATCACCCCATGATCACCCTGTAGAGCAGCGGTTCTCAACCCGTGGGTCACGACCCCTTTGGGGATCGAATGACCCTTTCACAGGGGTCGCCTAAGACCATCGGAAAACACATATATAATTACATATTGTTTTTGTGATTTATCACTATGCTTTAATTATGTTCAATTTGTAACAATGAAAATACATCCTGCATATCAGATATTTACATTACGATGCACAACAGTAGCAAAATTACAGTTATGTTGTAGCAACGAAAATAATTTTATGGTTGGGGGTCACCACAACATGAGGAACTGTATTAAAGGGTCGCGGCATTAGGAAGGTTAAGAGCCACTGCTGTAGAGGGAGGCCTAGGCCACTGATGGGCAGGCTGCGGCGGGTGGGCAGGGCCTCCTTCTGCGAGGGAAGCCCAGGTCCCAGCAACTGGGGGAAGGCAGGCCCACTTTTGCACAAATTTTGTGCATTGGGCCTCTAGCATTATATATTTGGCTTGACTTATTTTATGTGTGCATCCATAAAAGAAAAGACAATTACAACAGAGCAGAATCTGCTGTATGAAAGCTGTCTCACATGATCCTCTATTGTAGATCTATCATAAACTACAATACCCACTTTACCCCAGGGTCATTGTTATTAAAGTCCTTGAATTTTCAGTAGACTGTGCTAAATTGCCCAATGATTTTTATATCATGTACATGAGTAGGGCTGAACTGAGAGTCATCAATATATTTGATCATTTCTAACTGAACAGGGTTAGAAATTGACCTTCCTATGAATGAAAAGCAATAGCCTACACCCTCCCACTCTGAGACAGACTTCTAAATAGATAACAATAGAATAAGGGGTAGCAAAGAACTATACCTTCCTTCTCTAGCACTTTTTTTATAATATGTATAAACATGTAGGGACAAACTTCACTTGCATAAACATGTTAAAGTCTTCGACTTTCAATAAATATTTTAATTATGTTAAATCAAATTTCAGACTTTAGGAAACATGTTGGTGTTTTTCTTCCTCTAGGGCAGCGATTTTCAACTGGTGTTGCAAGAATTTTAAAACATGAAATACCTGACTATTTAGATAGGGGCAATGACCTCTTTTCCCTTAGATCAGTGGTCGGCAAACTGCGGCCCCTTGAGTGTGGCTCTTCCACAAAATACCACGTGCAGGTACACACATACAGTGCGATTGAAACTTTGTGGCCACGCTCAAGGGGCCAAAGAGCCGCATGTGGCTCGCGAGCCGCAGTTTGCTCACCACTGCCTTAGATCATTAAAAAAAAAAAAAAGACAACAGCTAACAATACCCATTCTATGTGAATTTATCAAAATCATACCTATTTTTTGGTCAGATCAGACAAAAATATATTTTTTGGTGTGCTGAGAAATTTTAGTGTGCCATGAGATGAAAAGGTTGAAAATTGCTGCTCTAGGGCAAGGGCTTGCCAGTTAAGCACCTTGAGAAGATCGAAGACATCATCTGCATCTAGCCGGTAATCACAGAGGCGGTGTAGGATCTCCACACGCGTACGAAGAGGCAGGTCTTGGAAACTGGCTTCTCTCAGTGGGTTGGGTTTCCCTTCCTCCAGTTCCCAGCGGTAGTTAATGATGTCCTCTAGGTAGCTGTGGAATGTCTGAGGCCTAGCCAGATGGCCCCAATACAAAAATACATTAATATAAAATACAGAGAGTAGGTAGGGCAGGGGAAAGAGAGCTGGTGGTTTGACAGCTGACAAATCTTAAATAGAAAGCAGAAAATGAAGGGGCAGTAACAAGAAGGGTCTGAAAGTCCCTTTCTGAAGCCTCATGTTATTATACTATTTGGACTTTCTATCGACAAATTCCAAAGAAAATGAATATGTTAAGAGTTTCTCACAGAGTAGATAGTTTTATTTTAGACCACTGATAGCACATTCTGCTAAAATAGGTAAAAGTTTACTAATCAATGGTATGGATTGTGGAACTGAGGCCAACAGTCTTATCTTTGCTTGTACAGATAAAGATAATACAGAGTTTGGATGCCACTTCAAAACTAGGTCTATGACTTAGATGACAAACAAAAAGGAAACTCAATGTCTGCCTAGCCTAATTAATATATTTTATTGATTTTTTACAGAGAGGAAGGGAGAGGGATAGAGAGCTAGAAACATTGATGAGAGAAACATCGATCAGCTGCCTCCTGCACACCCCCCACTGGGGATGTGCCCGCAACCAAGGTACATGCTCTTGACTGGAATCGAACCTGGGACCCTTGAGTCCGCAGGCTGACGCTCTATCCACTGAGCCAAACCAGTTTCGGCTGCCTAGCCTAATTAATTTTATTTCAGGTTAAAATGCAAAGATGAATAATACCTCTCTAGAATACAAGTATTTACTCCAATGTGCAACTATAATTTTATATTCTGTTATACATAAATTTTAGGGCATATTATAAAATACTATATTCTAAATTCTGAAAATGGCTTAGAAAAACTATAGGAAACATTTAAGGCAGCTTGATGGCAATCTAAATTTTTTTTCAGTTAGAGTTTGATTGGAAATTCTCTGTATTTTGATAAGTACCTAATAAAGTGTTAAAGTGTTTGTCACATGGTTATTTTACACTCCAATTAATGAATCTGGTTATAATGTCACTTAATGATTTAAAAATTTTTTCTCACTAAGCAAAGATGTCTTACAGGAATTATATGTCAGCCCTAGCTGGACAAAGTGCAGTTCAAACTGGTAGTAAAAAGCTGATAGTGTTGCAATGATGAATTTGAAAATAAAAGGGGGTATTTTTTTGGTATCGAGGAGTATGAAGATGACAATATCTCTTTGGTAATAAATTCCTTTACCACATACTTTCTAGAATTCCTAATGCACACCAAGAACCTCAAACAACAAGGCATGTTTTTCCTAGAGTAAAATAAAATGAGGAATCTATGACATTGAGATCATTTCACCAGAATGATAGCTTCAGTGGAGACAGTGGCAGGAGACAGGCTGGGCCAGGCCAGGGAAAACTTCCATATTCCAGTGTGAGGCAATGGAAGCACAAACATACTAACCCAACAAACACTGTAAATGTACAGTGTTGTTCTTTGTGCCTACAATCTGCCTGAAAGCCTCTACCTATCCCAAAGAACTGCATGATTGATATTCCTTTCCAATAGCACCTTTATCCTACTCAGTTTCAATTGTATCACTTTTGCTAACAGTTTTCTTGGCATCTCCATACCACCTTACCACGAGATACTTGACAGTTTACAATTTAAGACAATTCATTTTCCTTGTACATACACTTGATCTTAGCCAAAATGCGATCATTCTCTTTGTATATAAATATATCTTCTTATATAAATCTACTAGTGTCCTGATGCACAGATTGATGCACAATGAAAGAAAATTAATTAGAAGAAATATTTTAATATTGCTATTAGCCCTTTCTCTATAACGGAAGTGGCAACGAAATTCACAATCAACAATGACAGATGGAAACACATGCATGCAACTAGCACCAGCGTTAGCTTTATATGTATCGTGCATGCGCGAGTCAACTTAACCTTTTATAGATATAGAATAAACTTGCTTAATCGCATCTTACTAATGAAAATAGGATTCTACTGAGTCTCCTATCTACCTACTCCAGGACTTCCATGAGGATCAAATGAGATGAGGCATGGGAAAATGCTTCACATACGTTTGGTTAAACTGTAAAATGTTTGCACCTGGCTGTAATGCAAGTCGGGTTCCTGGGCTGAAGAAATTCCAAGGAGGCTAGTCACTAGGGAAAGGAAGCCGGGCATTGGCTATGTGACATCATTACCCAGCACCCACAGCCACCACTTCCGGGCTGGGCTGTGGGCCACATTTTGTGCCATGGGTCTTGGCAGCGTTGGCTGCAATTTGGTGGGGTGTTGCTCCAGGGTGGTGACGAGGCCTAGTGTTAGTTTGTCAGCACCAGGTCTGTGTTGCCTTTATTTATTTTTAAATGGCCAGTGCGCGTCATGGCAGCTCCTGCGTTGAGCGTCTGCCCCCTGGTGGTCAGTGTGCAACATAGCTAACGGTTGGAAAGATGGACACTTAGCCATATATATATATAAATCCCTTTCTTTAAAACATCTGAAATTCAAGAAGAAAAACAAAAAACAAAATATTTTCATTGATTTTTTACAGAGAGGAAGGGGGAGAGAGAGAGAGAGAGAGAGAGAGATAGAAACATCGATTGGCTGCCTCCTGCATGTCTCCTACTGGGAATCAAGCCCCCACAACCCGGGCATGTGCCTTGACCAGGAATCAAACCCGTGACCTCTGGGTGCATGTGTTGACACTCAATCACTGGGCCACACCAGCTCAGCAAAAACAACTAAAAAAAGAGTTTTTATTGATTTTAGAGAGAGAGAAACACTGAAGTAAAAGAAACATTGTCTTGATGGTGTGGGTCAGCAGTTGAGTGTAAACCCAGGAACCAAGAGGTCACTGGTTCAATTCCTGGTCAGAAAGAATACAGAAGGCAACCGATCAATGTTTCTCTCATCTTGATGTTTCTCTATCTCTTTATCTCTCTCTCCCCGCCTCTCCCTTCTTCTCTCTCTAAAATCAATTAGAACATTTTAAAAAAGTCAACTGCAGAAAGAACCAAACACAAGACTTGGGAATCCATTTGTAAATACTCAGTTTACACTGTTATGTCGTTTTGGCTAATGATCAGTACTGGTTTGTTAGTTGACATGAAACATCTTTTTTTTTTTTTTTAAAAAATATACTTTATTGATTTTTTACAGAGAGGAAGGGAGAGAGATAGAGAGCTAGAAACATCGATGAGAGAGAAACATTGATCAGCTGCCTCCTGCACATCCCCTACTGGGGATGTGCCCGCAACCCAGGTACATGCCCTTGACCGGAATCGAACCCGGGACCCCTCAGTCCGCAGGCCGACGCTCTATCCACTGAGCCAAACCGGTCTCGGCGACATGAAACATCTTGATGACTGATTGATTGGTTGGTTCTCTCTCCAAAAAATTTAGTAAGATCAGAATTACTCACGTGATATCCCTTCGTTGATAGCAGCCCTGAAGCAAGCAGGCAATCAGGTCACTAATAAACTCTGCATCATCTCTGTGAAGAGCTGCTTCTAACTCCTGAGAAGGAAGAGAGAGAGAGTTGAGAGATCAAACACAGAGATTTCTTAAAATCCATCTGCCTTGCCTCCCCACCCCCTGATGCCTCTCCCAAGCATCTTAATGGTCAGTGTAGCAGAAATGCTAGTCATGGATCAACTCTCACCATCTTCCCCACAATTACTGCTAGAGGAGCAACTTGAGTTCAACTTCCTGTTTTTCCATGGGGTTTATTTCTCACCTTGCTCCTTCCCCAGCTCCATTCTTTTATCAGCACACGAAAAGAAATACGTACACATATACCACTTTTTATAAATCAATAATTATCAAAGAATTTAACTTACATAAATATGCTGTACTGCTTTCTATTTTTTTAAATATATTTTTCTTGATTTCAGAGAGGAAGGAAGAAGGAGAGAGATAGAAACACCAATGATGAGAGAGAATCATTGACTGGCTGCCTCCTGCATGCCCCCTACTGGGGATCGAGCCTGCAACTTGGGCATGTCCCCTTGACCACAATCAAACCTGGGACCTTTTAGTCTGGAGGCCAATGCTCTATCCACTGAGCCAAACCATCCAGAGCTGCTTTCTATTTTTAATGGCAAGAGACTAAAGGATCAAATATGTAATTAGTTAGAAACTTTTCTTCATTTACTGATCTGCAACAGCTTAAAAGAAGCACTATAGTTTGAAAAAAGCATTGGTAATAAGTTGGCATTTTTTATACTTTAAGTACACTATACCTACATGACTGATGATAGATTACCAGAACTGAGATTAATCTTACATCATCTGGAGAGAAGTGAGGTAATGTCTATATTAATGGTCTAAGCCTAGGTGAGATGCATTTGCTTTCATTGGGGATCAGGTAGACAACGCCAAAGCCTGTTTTGGCACAGCATTCTAAACAAAGATTAGTTGGGTGCTCTGAAGCTACAAGGTCAAAAAGTGACAGGGGAAAATTAGGACATCCTATTTCTCTTCTCAATCTCCCAATAAACCAGTATTTTCTGAGGTGATGGAATATGTTCTAAGTCATGCAAAGTTTTCTTTTAAACAGGGTCCACTATGCTTATGGTTTGACTAGCTCATAATCAGTTCTTTATCCAGATTTATTTACCAAACTTTCAAGGATCTTATTAATAGTTCTGAAAGCACAAAGTATGTGTAAGATGTAATTCCTGACCTTAAACCTTGCTGACTGGCTATTTCGAGCCAGAACTTGCTTGTGTGACTGGCTACTTTTCTTTTAGTAGCTTTGGCAACTCACAGTCTCCCTTATTGTCCCACAGACCAGTATGTTGTTCTTCAATAATAGTTCAGGTGTAGACACGATGTTGTAATTGTCTTGGTAAATATGATGCCAAGAACCAAGAAAAGGGCGTAAGACAGGTAATACAGTCTGTTGTAACTTTCACCTATGTATATCTTGAAGTAGCAAATATAGTCACTCTAACTTTCACAAAGTATCCTTACTAAAATTCCATATTTTATTATTTTTTGCCAGATTATATGTCTTCAATTTGATGTGTCCTCTACTTGAATCAGTTTCATTGAGTGAAAACTGTTGTTTTGATATATAAAGATTTAAATTTTGAGATACAGTGATCCAAAAGAGGCCTTAATTTATAAACATGGTCTGTGTTACATGTTGCTTGTGAATTATTGTTCAGATGAAAGAATGTAATAAGTATCTGCTTGAATCTTTTTCCAGCCATAGTTTATGGAAATATGTGTGATCCAAGTAAAGGGGCAGTTGGCCAGTAATCTTTCCATTCTGGCTTCTTTGTTAGTCCCATCAATATAATTAAACCAAGAAACTTCTTTATAAGTAACATCCATCCATGGTGAAGTTTTAGCAAAGATTTCGTGGTATTTTTCCATTTAGTGATGGTGTAAATTGGTTTAAGAAGTAACAAGATAGAAAAAATCCTCATCTAAAATAATAAAAGTATAATATGCTAAAGTAGACCAGACAGCCGAACAACCTTCCAGATGTCCTTCCGCATGAAGCTGCAGTGGCAGGGGCCAAGGCAGAGGCGGTTAGAGGCGATCAGGCAGTCAGGCAAGCAGTTAGGGGCATCAGGCAGGAAGGCGGAGTGGTTAGGGGCGATCAGGCAGGCAGGCAGTGTGGTCAGGGGTGATCAGGCAGGCCCCACTTCTTTAGGGGTGATGAGGTAGGCAGGCAGAGTGGTTAGAGGTGATCAGGCAGGCAGGCAGGTAAGTGGTTAGGAGCCAGCGGTCTCGGATTGCGAGAGGGAAGTCCGACTGCCAGTTTAGGCCCCATCGTGCAGGGATCCCTGTGAGGTCGGGCCTAAACCAGCAGTTGGACATCCCCAGAGGGGTCCCAGATTGCATGAGAGTGGAGGCTGGGGTGAGGGACCTCCTTGCCTCCATGCAAGAATTTCGTCCACCGGGCCTCTAGTCAAAAAATAAATTGGTTACTTCACTTATACTTTATGCATCTTCAAATTGAACAGTTACGCCTGAAATATCTGTATAATCCCCCAAGGCTGGTAAAATGTCTTTTTCTGCCCATTCTTCAGAAACACTTTCACTGTCATAGACTATCATATTTCTCCTTTGCCTTCCTGATGGTCTAATGTTAGACTCATTACTATCTTCCAGCTGACTACCAAAGTTACTCGGTCAATCAGACAAAATGCACATAATTCGCTGTGACATTCTTCTCTGCCACAATGCATCTTTTTAAAAACTTTTACCATAATATAAGATGGATGGAAACAATTAGGATGTATTGCTTGCCACATCTCTGGAAATACTTGACTCAGAGGTTGAGAAAAAGACACAAGTTAACTTGTGACAGGTCAGCAATGTTCATACACAGAAATACGAATATACTTGTGACTGTTCAGCAAGGTGTTACATGGCAGTATAAAGAGGATAATCTGCTTTGACTATAAAACCAGTATATTTCTTTTGTAAACTATTTTAATTGTTCCATTTATTACTTTATCTTTAAAAATTCCTAATTTTATAAACAATCACTCTAAAAATGTCACAGGACAAAAAATTGTTAAGCATACTATAATTGATATAAATAAACAAAACACAAACTACTTTGAGGTAGTAGTTCAACTGAAAAGGATTTTATAATGCCTTGAAAGCCCAGGTGAATGAAACTCAAGAGACAAGGCTGAACCTTGAAAACACTTTGTTTGCCTTAAGTACAAACTTGGGAATTATTAACAGATTCTAAAGCAATAATTCTTATTTTTATATATTAGCTTATTAGTTCCTTTATGCAGGGTTCTTTTCTATGTTCTTTTTAGTGATGATCCAGAAAAATAAGAAACACTACCAACCAAAAATAACAGGGACCTGAACTATAATTCATGCATTCATTCAACAAATATTTACAGAGCATCCACCCTGCACAGGGGAGCTTAGTTTAGAGAGGTAAGATAGTACAAAAATATAAAAATAAAGAAAAGACAATCAAACAAAGTAATTAGCACTATTAGATACAGAAAAGGTGCTATGGGAGTTGAGAAGAAAAGGATTATTTCTGGCTGTGGGAAGCCTGAGGGATTTCTTGAAGACTGGGTGGCACACCTGAGATGGAACAATGGGGGAGAGGCAGGGCACAACCAGGTGCAGGAACAACAGGAGCAAAGGCACCAAGAGGATATTAGGTTCAGTTTAACTATTCTGTAGATTATGTGAGGGGAGTAATGAGAGCCAAGACTAATAGCCAATACTGAATACTGAGTTAATTAGTCTGGCCTTTCTTTGGAAGACAGTGGAGAACCACAATTAGAGGAAAAACACATTGAGATTAAACTAGTTGGTATGTATAAGAGATAAATTCTAGTGCATAAGGTGGGAGGTGATGTAATGTTATACACAATAGTCCAAGAGAAAGATTCTGAAAAACTTACTGAATGAAAGAAACAGCAGGAAAAGGGAGAAACATAAATTCAAGATCTAACTGAAATAAATGTGAAGCAAAGGGGAAGATTTGAATGGCTCATATTTTAAGCCTGGTCCGCTAGGCAAGCAAGACTCTCAAAATGCAAATATGAAACTGCAATTGTAACGAAACTGAACTTTGAAGCAAAAAAATTCAGGCCATCTCATCTGACAGGTAAGCCAGAATTACTTAATACTAGAGCTGCAAAATAAATCACAGATTATATTATTCAACTCCCTCAATCCTCCCATCTAACAAAAGATAAACATGGTAATTAACCGTACCTCCAACACGCTCCCCATAGGTTAATCAGGGTGATATGCAAATTAACTGCCAACCAAGATGGCGGCCGACAGCCAGGCAGCTGAAGCAAACAGGAGGATTGCTTGCTCCAGTGAAGGAGGGAGCCAAGGTTCCCTACCTGCCGCTGTTGGGCTCTGAGCTGCACTCTAAGAAACAATGTTGCAATTATAGAAGCTAAACAAACCCCATGCTTTCAGCCAGCTGGCCGGCTGAGCTAGAGCTGAAACAGTGTTTCAATTATAGAAGCCAAACAAACCAGATACCTGCTTTCAGTAGCCGAGGCCTCAGAGCTGGAGCCGAGCCTCAGAGCTAAATCCGGCTCTCAGTTCCAGTGACAGCCATAGAAGGTAAATAAATCCCAGAATAAAAAAAGAAAAAGAAAAAAAGGAGAGGTTGGGAGCTTCAGTCGCCCACCAGCCTGAAAACAGCCCTCAGCCCCTCTCCCAGACTGGCCAGGCACCACAGTAGGGACCCCTACCCTGAAGGGAGTGTGACCAGCTGCAAACAGCCATCATCCCCTCATCCAGGCTGGCCAGGCCCCCCAGTGGGGACCCCCACCCTGAAGGGGTGTGACCAGCTGCAAACAGCCATCATCGCCTCATCCAGGCTGGCCAGGCACCCAAGCGAGACCCCCGACCCTGATCTGGGCAAACCAGCCAGCCCCCACCCGTGCACCAGGCCTCTATCCTATATAGTAAAAGGGTAATATGCCTCCCAGCACCGAGATCAGCGGAGCCGCGAGGCCTACCCGCAGTGGGATCAGCAGAGCCGTGAGGCA